CGTTTTGGGGGTGCCGGTTTTTGGGGTGCCAGTTTTTGGGGTGCCGGTTTCTGGGGTGCCGTTTTTGGGGTGCCGTTTTTGGGGTGCCGGTTCTTGGGGTGCCAGTTTTTGGGGTGCCGTTTTTGGGGTGCCGTTTTTGGGGTGCCGGTTTTCGGGCTGCCCCATTTTTGGGGTGTCAGTTTTTGGGGTGTCGGTTTCTGGGCTGCCCCGTTTTTGGGGTGCCAGTTTTTGGGGTGTCGGTTTCTGGGCTGTCCCGTTTCTGGGGTGTCGGTTTTTGGGGTGCCCAGTTTTTGGGGTGCCGGTTTTTGGGCTGCCCCGTTTTCGGGCTGCCCCGTTTTTGGGGTGCCAGGTTTTGGGGTGCCGTTTTTGGGGTGCCGGTTTTCGGGGTGCCAGTTTTTGGGGTGCCCCATTTTTGGGGTGCCAGTTTTTGGGCTGCCTCGTTTTTGGGGTGCTGTTTTTGAGGTGCTGGTTTTTGGGGTGCCAGTTTTCGGGCTGCCCCGTTTTTGGGGTGCCAGTTTTTGGGGTGTCGGTTTCTGGGCTGTCCCGTTTTTGGGGTGCCGGTTTTTGGGGTGCCGGTTTCTGGGCTGCCCCGTTTTTGGGGTGCCCCGTTTCTGGGGTGCCGTTTTTGGGGTGCCGTTTTTGGGGTGCCCAGTTTTTGGGGTGCCAGTTTTTGGGTGCCGGTTTTCGGGCTGCCTCGTTTCTGGGCTGCCCCGTTTTTGGGGTGCCAGTTTATGGGGTGCCAGTTTTCGGGGTGCCAGTTTTCGGGCTGCCCTGTTTCTGGGGTGCCAGTTTTTGGGGTGCCAGTTTTTGGGGTGCCGGTTTCTGGGGTGCCGGTTTCTGGGGTGTTGGTTTTTGGGCTGCCCCGTTTTTGGGTTGCCCCGTTTTTGGGGTGCCAGTTTTTGGGGTGTCGGTTTCTGGGCTGCCCCGTTTTCGGGCTGCCCCGTTTTTGGGGTGCCAGTTTTTGGGGTGCCGTTTTTGGGGTGCCGGTTTTCGGGCTGCCCCGTTTTTGGGGTGCCCCATTTTTGGGGTGCCGTTTTTGGGCTGCCCCGTTTTTGGGGTGCCAGTTTTTGGGGTGCCGGTTTTTGGGGTGCCAGTTTTCGGGTTTCCCCGTTTTTGGGGTGCCCCATTTTTGGGGTGCCGTTTTTGGGGTGCCCAGTTTTCGGGTTGCCCCGTTTTTGGGGTGCCGTTTTTGGGGTGCTGTTTTCGGGGTGCCCAGTTTTTGGGGTGCCGTTTTTGGGGTGC